GTACTCTATTATTAATAATCCATTATTAATAATTCAAACTTTTTTTTGAAGATGTCTGGACATGGAATGGGTAAACCGGATATGATTGAGTCGAGAAATAAGGAGAGAATGGAAGGTCGTGCTTGTAGACTTACGGCGACTGGTAGGAAGGAAAATGAAGAAAAAAAATCCACCTAAGGTTAGAAGGAAGAAGAAGGCGGATGTAGTGCGTCCTGACGGCTACCCTACTGTGGGGCAGTTGTCTCTTAGTCGAGGTACTACCAGTACTCCTACACCACAGAGCGCACCGGTATGGCAGGCTAATTGGAGTGATTCCATTGACGAGGATGATGATGATGACGGTGAGGCTGAGGTTGGGAATGCCCCAGATGCTGGTGATGCTGCTGGTGATGCTGCTGGTGATCGTGCTGGTGATGCTGCTGGTGATGCTGAGGATGGGGATGCCCCACCTCAAGCTGATTTAGGCGTGGGGAAGACGGCGCGGGTCGGGATATCTTCTACTGCCTCCTCCCACTTCCGTGGCCCCGATGGACGCTATGCGTCCAGACCTAGTAGCGAGGATGGCGGAGATGGAAATAGGAAGAGGAAGACCACGAGCATGGGCACTTGACCATGTCGAAAATCAAGTCGCACCCAATGATCCCCCGTAAAATGTAGTGATAAGATCCCACGTGGTCTTGTTACTCCTGGTGGGGCCGTCACAGGTAGCACGGTATAACGACCGCCTTGACTGTATACAACGATAGCCCATGAATGCAAGGTGGCGAAGACGAAGAGTTCCGCATTATCCATCCAGTTGGGAGGTCCACAACCACTTGTTGATGCCCACCTGCAACGTCGAATGCCATTTTCTATTCCATTTGCTATTCCATCATAGTAGTCTCTATAAAGCTCAGGACGGGATTCAAGCTCCTCTACAACAACGCGTCTCATTTGTGGCCAATTGCTTTGGTCCCCAGTAACTGCTTGTGATATAGCTCGAAATCCACAGTGTCCATCTGGAATAGGGTTGAACCAACCACGAACTAGTCGTTGCACGTAGGATTCCAAAAAATGTAGCCATGGGTAATTCTTCCAACTAGTATTGGGAATCCGAGCAACCCTCCACGGGGCACCATCTAGCCAAAGAGCATAACACAATAAATTAATACAAAGAGTTATACAATATATTTATCCGAAATTAGGAATATAATTTCTAACCTGTATCATTATGGATCACCGGCTCCGTCTCATTCTCGTAGTTGGTTTGTGCATTCACATTCGGGGCACCACCTATCTCATTTAAAAAAATAGATTAGTTGTACACTATATTGAGGACAATTGAACACAACTAATAGAAAAAGTTTTTCTACCTGTATTTCCATCATTTTCCGGAGTTGCAGTCGGAAGTCTTGAACTTCTCCTCCCTCGTTTCCTCTCCACATGCTCGAAGTGAGATAGGTTTCGAGTGGTGGACGTCCTTGGGCGACCGGGGCGGGGCTGTCCCCCATGCGGCTCATCAATGCCATCATTTTCAGGATGAAGATGGCTCCGGAGTAGGCCGATTGCACCTCGAATGGTCTCGTCGCCTCTATCAAGAACCTCCTGTACTAGACCTTGGAACACACCACGGTGGTAATCACTATGGTCATCCCACTCCGGCCGAGTAGGAGGTTCACGATAGTTGATAACGGTCCAGAATGCCAACACATCATACAAGGCGAAATCCCGATTTTCACGTCGTGCTAACTGAATGGAACATCTACATGGGAGACCATAGGTAGGAGTAAACGTACATGTACAAGGTTCCCCTTCCACTGCTACCTCGAACAACATCAACCTCAGAGCTTCTAGGGTGACTTTTGTATTCAACTCTCGAAATGGTTTTCCATCCGCTCGGAGTAGCTTCTTTTGTCGGGAATCCTCTAGAAGCTTCCTGATTTGAAGGTGTTGAGCCTCAATGTAATCATCGTTCTTCTTGAATACCTACATACAATGAAGAACAATTAGGAGACTACTAAAACTTATGTGTGTATCAATGAAGATTTACTAGGAGACTAACCGTGTCGACTGCGCCAGTAGATGATTGATGCCACTTCTTGAAGGAGGAATGGGCGGCTTCAACCCTATTAGAGCTTGTGTTACCCAAATGCCGCAGTTGATTGGTATAACATTTAGCCCACATGTGTCTAACTGGTAACCACTAAGCTGTCATATACCCCCAAAGACGTCGGTACTGTACTCCCCAACCACGTCTGAAATTGTCTAAGGCAGTATCCATGTCTTCCACTGTCAATGCATATACAGCACGTTGCCAAGACGCCATGATATGATCCACTGTCGGTTTGGCTGCATCTATACCACAATGAGTCGTCCTTCTCACCTCCGCTAGACACTTTGCTCTCACATTCCTATCCATATGCCAAAGACATAATATATGAGTCGATGATGGAAACATTACCCCCACGGTCTCAACCAATCCTCCTGCCTTGTCACTGACAAACACATCTGGAACAATGGGGCCAAGAAAATGTTGCAAATGCGTCAGAAGCCACTGGTACGACTCCTTCGTCTCGTCGTACACTATTGCAGATGCAATGACAAAGTTCAATCCCACTGGTGTCATGCCGACAATCTCAACCCAAGGCATATCATACTTATTGGTCTTGTATGTTGCATCTATCACGATCACATGGTGCCAAGCTCGCAACATCACTACTGACTCAGGGTGGGCTAGGAACAAGTGCGTAAGCACGTTACGATCGTCCATATACTGCACATAGTAACCCTTCTCCTGCGCCACGCGGAAAGTATACTGTAAGGCTGTCATCTGACCAAGCTCTTCTTTCCTTATCTTTTGCAACTCGTTATAAATCTGCTTTCTGTTGTGTGTTCCATTTGCACCTTTTCTCTCATTCACTGCCTTGTGGATATTCCTTGGTGGGACACCGGCTGATCTCAGCTCTCTGATGTATTGCTTATCCTCTGTAGTCAGAACATTCCTTCCCTTTGATCCTTCCGGAAATAGCTCCAACTGATGATTGTGGAAACCCAAATTAGCACCAGGATTCTTTGTATTTGCCACCCCTAGGATCAACCAATATCCATCACCTGACCGCTCAAGCTTGATCTGAAACTCGCACCCCAACTTTTCAGTAGATGTAAGAGGCCTCCTTTCCTTACTCGGATCAGGTTCCTTTGACTTCTTCTTCCTACCATGAGTGCAATGTAAGTAATGTCGCCAAATAAAACCCAAAACCCTTGGCAATCTCAGTAGCTGCTTCATATGCTTGCAACTCCGTAGTGTATTTCACGCCATCAATGAAATCCGAGGTGTAATCATGGCCATCCGGATTGTAACTTCCAATATCCTGCAATGTTATCAGAATTTATAAGTGATACCCCACAAATTAAAAAAAAAACTTAACATTCTATATCGTCAATTTAACGAGTACCATATGATAAATTTAAAATTTCATAACTATATTAAATTTAATAATCATCATAACTTCATATGCAAATCTATTATTTATGCAATAAATTTAATCTTAATTTGTAATGCAAAATATAATCTTAATTTTCTAGATTAAGACCAAATTAAATCTAATCTTCATATGCGAATCTATTATTTATGCAATAAATTTAATCTTAATTTGTAATGCAAAATCTAATCTTAATTTTCTAGATTAAGACCAAATTAAATGTAATCTTCATTTAAGGCCAAATCTAATCTTAATTTCTAATGCGAATCTATTATTTATGCAATAAATTTAATCTTAATTTGTAATGCAAAATCTAATCTTAATTTTCTAGATTAAGACCAAATTAAATCTAATCTTAATTTAAGGCCAAATCTAATCTTAATTTCTAATGCTAAATCCTTCAATTCCAAAAATAATTATGCAAATAAATCTAGAAATTATATAAATCAAAACCCAACAAATTATCTCATGGAACAAATCATAAATCATATAAAAAATAGAAAATTATTCAACGAAAAAAAAACCAGAAAATGCCCAACCGCAAGTGACCTGCGGTTGGACCATGGCCGGACCGCAAATCCCCTGCGGTTGAACCATGGCTGGACCGCATGGTCCAACCGCAGGTCAATTGCGGTTGGGCATTTTTTGGTTTTTTTTTTCTTCGTTTTTCAGTTTCGGTATTTACCTCGTCGGAGTCGCTACTCATGATTCAGACGTCCTACCGACGATATCGACTTCAAAATGACGATGATGGATTTTTCTCTCCTTAGATAGTGTTTTTTTAGTCCAAGTGGTGTTTGTTTGATAAAAGGAAGGTAAAGAAGATAGGGAGTTATAAGTGTAACTTTAAACTTTTTAGGGCGACCTTTAGCAATTCTAAGGACGACCTTTAACAACTCCAAAGTAAAAGAGCAATAGAGTACTTTCTACCTTCTCTCTCTGCCTTTCTCTCACTTTTCCTCTCTGTGACTGCCTGCCCTGCCCTTCAAGCATTTTTTGTTTGTTTACTTGCATAAGCATAGCTAACTCGGATAATTTTCTGTCATTTATCCCCCTGGATTCCTCCCAGACTCTCTTCTCGATTTCCTTCTCCCTTCTCCAAATAGCAAAACCAACACCTGCCCTTGTATTCCTTCCCTACCTCCGCACTCACCGGAATTCCACTGCTGACCACCGGAATCGATTCCTTGCTTGCCTATTTTCCTTGTCTTCCAATTGCTCAGCTGCTGGAGAGCAATCAGCTAACTTCGCTACAGTGTAGATCAATCTTGCGCTTACCTCAGAATTGAGCTGAGGCGGGAGGTGGAGACTTGAAGTTCGTTGGACTCTGAGTCAGCTGTTATCTCTTGATGCTGCTGGCGACGGTCTTCACTTCCGAGCTGGAGTAGCTATTGTAGTATTGTGTGGATTCGCTAGGGTTTTTCTAGTCTGGTGAATGGAACGGTTCTACTGCTTGATTGAGAATGGGCGGGAGACGTACTGCAGTGTCGTTGCTGCTACTGTTTAGCTTTCTCGGTTCCAGGATAGCTCGCCGTTGGAATGTCGCCGCCGGATAGAATGGCTGCGGATCTCAGTAGGACTGGCGCTGCTGAAAGGGATATTGAGCAGGTATCTGATTTCGTTTTTGTTCCAGCTTTTTTATTTGCTTTTCTACCCTGGATACTATGTTTAGCTCAACTGATTCCTGAATGAGCCAGATTGGACTATCGGCATTAGTGGTGAATTGTGTATGTCAATTCTCTCTGATGCGACGATTTTGTCCACAAATCTGGCCTATTCTTGAACGGGATCTTTTGATAACTCCGCAAATTAGATAGATGTGGTCAAGATTGGAAGGCTATTATTCAAGGGGGCCGGGCCTAAAATTGTTTACGATAGAGAGCATTGATCTACGAACAGTCCTGTTAACCAATGTTGTAAACAAATGAACTGTTATTCCGATAGTGAAACAATATTTTACTGGCTCAGGTCAATAGCGGTGGTACCTCTTTAGCAGTCGTATTAATTCCTATTCATGGGTTTCCATTCCCGATTGTATTGGTTGGCATTGGCAATGATTTGAAAGTTCATGAAAAATTGGTTAGCTCAACGGGCTGGAACAGTGACCAAATCTTTGCCACGGTGAATGATTGGTAAGATTAGGGGAGCTTTCACTTGCTGTGGTTGGCTACTGCTAGTGAAATGGTCAAAGGGTTTGCAGGCAAGGGTGTATTTGCTTCAGCAATTCTGTAATTAGTTCGAATTACGATCCGATGTGGTGGTGGATACCACACCTTCAGTTGAGGTGCCTAGGGTTGCCGTGAAATCATTTGCAGAAAATAGGGCTGCTGGAATGTTATTGAGAAGTGGAGTTTAGAATTATTCGTGGATAGAATGGATGATGAACCTCCACACCAGTAAGTGATTAGGTGTGGTAAATGCCAGGCTACAACTCAACGTTGATATGGTGAGCACGAATAATTCTCTCCTCCATATCCTTATTGGATAAGGAATGTTGTAGGGTAACTCCAGATTCTGAAATTATGCATCTTCTGTAAAGATAGAAAGCTCATAGAGGTGTTCTTAATAGCAAAACCTAGGTGTTTAAGCTCCTAGGGTTAATATTGGGCTGTCTCATCTAGATTCCTTTCATTTTTGCTGAAGGAATCGTGTGAACTGGGCTGGTGGCAGAAATGATCCTTAGTGCTAATATTTCCTCTTTGGGGTATACAACTTGGAGTTTCAGGAATTGAACTCTTGGCTCATTTTGACTAGGTGTTCAGTTAATGGTTTCACTACATTAGCAATCGGCAGTGCTGGGCAACAGCTCCAAATTCACACAACTCATGACTTCACTTCTGCTCTCCTTGGGGATATATGGTCTAGGTTATCTTCAAATTTCAGATTTTTTTTTCGTAATGTGAGTACGGAGATACGACGAGTCCATATGCTGTATTTTCCCATTTCGCTGGTAATTTAGTTGCTATCATTTGATGAGCTTGCAAAATATTCTCATAGAAGGCCAATACTCCAAACCAAGTTATGTGTTGGTTGACAATACTTAGGAGGAAAGAAAAGCATGGGAGTTGTCCCTAAGGACTAAGGAGACAATCTATTTTAACCTTACCCTTATGATCTCTACGCCCCTGTTTTGGAATTTATATAGATTGATGGATGTTTTCAACAGCTTGATACCTCTCCATTTCGGGTTGTATGGGCTGAATTTTGTCCACAAGAGAACTCTGTGTAAACTCCTTCCAGTTTCTGTACAAGTCGCATGTCAATGACACAATCTCATGCTGTTTCGGTGTTTCCTAAAGGATACCTACAACCGGTTTCTACTGCACTTGTCTGCTGGCAATGCTTATATCTACTATCTAGTATATGTTAGTGTTGTGGTATATGATCTACGATTGAACATTTCCCAACAACTCGAGTTATTGGGATCAACTGGTTCATGACATGGTATCAGAGCCTTATGTGACCGAGAGGTCTTGTGTTCGATTCCCGGTGACCCCCATTTGTTAAGCACATGGTATTATTGTCTTCAGACATGTGCAAACTTCAAGCCCTTGTGAGTGGCTTTCGTTTGAGGGGGCGTGTTAGTGTTGTGGTATATGATCGAGTTAGCCAAGTAAAATGAAATTATGCAGATAACTCTTTATCTAACTTAGAACTAACTGGATGGTCATGGAGTGCTATTGTTTAATCTTCTACTATCCACATTCTGGATTTTTTTTTTTGCACGGTGCTCTTTATGAGGTACTAAATTTTGTTTTTGTTGAATTTCAAAACAGGCAATCACTGCTCTGAAGAAAGGAGCTTACTTGCTGAAGTATGGAAGAAGGGGGAAGCCAAAATTTTGTCCCTTCCGCCTTTCAAATGTAAAGTGTGCCAAGTTTTGTTAGCTATTTAATATGTATACCTTCTGAATTATCACTTACAACTTCAACAAAATACCATCTGCATGTGTCCTAATTTATTCCACCCTGTGCGATATTCATCAGTCATCATGACCTCAACTATAAGAATAAAACTCTGTTTTCCTCTTTTAGTAAGATTATAATAGTAACAATCAAAGTCTTTATTTTGTACATTTCAGTGGATAATCTTGATATCTGAAGTGGTGAGTTGGCCGCATTTCATACTCTATGAAGTGCTTCGCCTATGATGCAACTTATTACGCGTTCTTATGCAGTTTGTCGATTTCTCTTGTAAGAGGTGATTAGCAGACTGATATTTTTATTTGTTCAGGATGAGTCCGTTCTTATTTGGTTCTCAGGGAAAGAGGAGAAGCATCTCAAGCTAAGCCACATATCTAGGATTATATCCGGGCAACGCACTGTGAGTTTCTTGATTTTATTTTATTTATAAAATGTGTTGAAATATATTTTGTTAAACTGATATTTTCAGACTAGGCTCATTTTGACTTCTTTGTGGGAATGCCAAAGATCGGTTAATTCTTGATTGACTTTTGGGTCATAGTCTCCAGTTTAGTACTTGTCGTATATGATGTTACTTTTGAAGAAGCTCTGGGTCATAGTTATTGTTTACTTGGAATGTTGATAGTCTTGAGGAAACGTTACTCTCAAATCAGCTGTACTTATTTCCTTAGGCTGCTTTATTTAGTCAAGATATCAGTGGTAATTTGTGTTATTTCTGCCATTTTGCGATTTGATATACTGAGAAGAATGAAGCCCATCTTCCAATGTTCACTGACCAGCTAAAATTTTTGCAGCCAATCTTTCAGAGGTATCCACGTCCTGAGAAGGAATACCAGTCGTTTTCTCTTATATATAATGACAGATCATTGGATTTGGTACGATTTTCTATGCTTTAAGGACACTGTTTCTGACTATGATTACGTATCTTTATACAATTAGTTGCTGAAATGACGGGGCATCACACACCTTGATTTCTTCATTACATGCACATGGCCTCAAGTATGAAGTTCTAATGTTTATCGTGATCTCTTTACTAGATTTGCAAAGATAAAGATGAGGCGGAGGTGTGGTTTAGTGGTTTAAAAGCATTAATATCACGCAGCCATAACCGGAAATGGAGAACAGAATCAAGGAGTGATGGCATTCAATCTGAAGTGAACAGTCCCAGGACATATACTCGTAGAAGTTCTCCCTTGAATTCTCCATTTGGGAGTAATGACAGTTTCCAGAAGGTATAGGCTTCTATTGTTCACCTTGCTCTTTTTTTGAATTCATCACTGCTGCCTCTTCCCCTTCTGTTTATGCGCGTGTCCTCATTCAGGATGGAGAGACCCTTCGTATTCACAGTCCATATGGAAGTCCACCGAAGAATGGACTAGATAAGACTTTCTCCGATGTGATATTTTATGCTGTTCAGCCTAAAGGGGGTTTCCCCTCTGATGCTGCTGATGCTTCAGCCCATTCTTTGTCATCTGGGGGATCAGATAGTATGCATGTTCATACAAAGGGACTAGGGATGGATGCTTTTAGAGTTAGCCTATCCAGTGCTGTCAGTTCATCAAGCCAAGGTTCTGGTCATGATGATGGTGATGCCCTAGGGGATGTTTTTCTTTGGGGCGAAGGGACTGGAGAGGGTGTTTTAGGTGGTGGAGTTCATAGAGCTGGGAACTGTTTTGGTGTAACAATGGATTCATTGTTGCCTAAAGCCTTAGAATCTACAGTTGTACTTGATGTCCAGAACATTGCTTGTGGCAGCCGACATGCAGCCTTGGTGTCTAAGCAAGGTGAGATTTTCTCCTGGGGGGAGGAATCGGGAGGCAGACTTGGGCACGGTGTCGATTCTGATGTCATGCATCCGAAACTTTTGGATACTCTTAGCAATACCAACATTGAGCTTGTAGCTTGTGGCGAATATCACACATGTGCTGTAACGCTTTCTGGTGATTTGTACACTTGGGGTGATGGAACTTACAATTTTGGTCTTCTTGGACATGGAAATGTAGTCAGTCACTGGGTCCCGAAAAGAGTGAATGGGCCATTAGAAGGCATACATGTATCATCTATCTCTTGTGGACCGTGGCATACAGCAGTTGTAACATCTTCTGGGCAATTGTTTACATTTGGTGATGGCACATTTGGTGTTCTAGGTCATGGAGACAGGAAAAGTGTATCGTTGCCAAGAGAAGTGGAATCCCTCAAGGGGCTCCGAACTGTACGAGCATCATGTGGTGTTTGGCATACCGCTGCAGTTGTAGAAGTCATGGTTGGTAATTCGAGTTCTAGCAATTGTTCTTCGGGTAAGTTGTTCACATGGGGAGATGGAGATAAAGGAAGACTTGGGCATGGTGACAAGGAAGCCAAACTTGTTCCTACTTGTGTTGCTGCTCTGGTTGAACCAAACTTTTGTAGAGTTGCTTGTGGGCACAGCCTGACTGTTGCTCTCACAACATCGGGCCAGATCTACACTATGGGTAGTCCTGTTTATGGTCAACTAGGGAACCCACATGCTGATGGGAAGCTTCCTGCCCGTGTTGAAGGCAAACTGTCAAAGAATTTTGTCGAGGAGATAGCGTGTGGTGCTTATCATGTTGCTGTTCTAACTTCCAGAACTGAAGTTTATACTTGGGGGAAGGGGGCAAATGGTAGGTTGGGTCATGGGGATATGGATGACAGAAACTCTCCTACACTGGTGGAAGCTCTGAAAGACAAGCAAGTTAAAAGTATTGCATGTGGTGCTAATTTCACTGCAGCTATTTGCCTTCATAAGTGGGTCTCGGGTGTTGATCAGTCTATGTGTTCTGGATGTCGGCTACCGTTCAATTTCAAACGCAAACGGCACAATTGCTATAATTGTGGACTAGTTTTCTGTCACTCATGCAGCAGCAAGAAGTCTCATAAAGCTTCCATGGCTCCAAATCCGCACAAGCCCTATCGTGTGTGTGATACTTGCTTTAATAAACTTGGGAAAGCCATGGATACTGAGGCACCATCGTCTCATTCCTCAATTAGTAGAAGAGGTAGTATAAATCATGGCTCTAATGAGTTTACTGATAAAGATGAAAAGTTGGATTCGAGATCTCGTTCACAGCTTGCTAGATTTTCATCAATGGAGTCCTTCAAGCAAACAGATAGTCGATCCAAGAAAAACAAAAAACTAGAGTTCAACAGCAGCCGTGTGTCGCCGATTCCAAATCGAGGGTCACAGTGGGGAGGACTGAATATTTCTAAATCTCTTAATCCTATGTTAGGTTCATCCAAGAAATTCTTCTCTGCCTCGGTTCCTGGGTCAAGAATTGTTTCTCGAGCAACGTCGCCCATATCTAGACGGCCGAGTCCACCGAGGTCAACAACGCCAACACCAACCTTGGGTGGCCTTACTTCACCCAAAATCTCAGTTGATGATACTAAAACCTCTAATGATGGTATTAGCCAAGAGGTTACTAAATTAAGAGCTCAGGTACTGCTCCTTATGTTACCTGGTCTTTAAATCTGATCAACTGTTTGGTTTATTTTTCCTTATGTCACTTCAGTATTTTGATGAATGTGGAAATAACGACTTGGACATGAATTAGTTGTGGGACATACACACTTGCTTTCATTTCAACTGTCAGTAACAAAATTCAGCTCAAGGTGCACAAAATTCCAGCACATACATTTCTGTGTGTTTCATGGATGATGCATCTTTCTAGACCCGACTCATTTGTATGTATGGGTTGCAAAATGTCGCTGTTGTGCTCATTTGGCTTGGACATGGGCTACCCAACTCATAAGTTAACTGGAATTTTCCTATTTGTTGGAACAATGCTACTGATAATATTCAATGGATGTTTATGTACTTGTATCATTATGGTGGCATGCGGTGTGCAACTTTTGTTTTATGATTCATTGGGGTCATATAATGATTTGCTCTGCTGATTTGTTTGAAGAAACACAAACTTCAGTGCATTCTAACCAAACCGTATTTCCCAGGTTGAAAGTTTGACTCACAAAGCTCACCTTCAAGAAGTAGAGCTAGAAAGAACAACTAAACAATTGAAGGAAGCAATTGCATTCGCAGGAGAGGAAACTGCAAAATGCAAAGCAGCGAAGGAAGTAATCAAGTCACTCACCGCTCAAGTAAGATAAGTTTTGATGTTTTCCTGTAGATACTAAACAAGCCACCATTGGTAATGTTATATGAAGTGCATTAGTCACTTGGAATCAGCGTACTTATTTCACTTTTTGCTCACTTCATTATTGTTTTATTGATAGCTGAAGGACATGGCAGAAAGACTACCCGTGGGAGCAGCCAGGACTGTGAAGACACCTTCCTTCACTGCTTTTGGATTCAATCCTCCGAATGAGATGCCAACCAATAATGTTACTGTGGACCGCTTAAATGGTCAAGTGACATCCCAAGATCGAGACACGACAAGTGGGTTAAATACTAACCAGTTAATCCCCAATGGTTCCAGCACAACTAGCAGCCATAGTTCTGGTTACAACATCAAACAAGGCCACGCAGAATCCACGTTGAGGAATGGCAGCGGCAGAACAAAAGACGGCGAATCACATAGTGAAGCTGAATGGGTTGAGCAAGATGAGGCTGGCGTGTATATAACACTAACCTCTTTGCCAGGTGGTGGCAAGGATCTCAAACGCGTGCGCTTCAGGTGCGTTCTTCTACATTCAAATCTTCATCCAATCTACCTGCATTGATCTGAAGTATTAAGTGATGCACAGTTTAGAACTCGTCTGCCTATATCGGCTTTAGCCTGAAGTTACATGTGTTCTATCTCTGTAATCGTGATTGATGGAACCCTGTAACTTTGAGATTGCAGTAGAAAGCGCTTTTCGGAGAAAGAGGCAGAGCAGTGGTGGGCTGAGAACAGGGCAAGAGTCTATGAACAGTACAACGTAAGGATGGTTGATAAGTCGAGTGTCAGCGTCGGTGGCGAGGATTTGCCACAGTAGTTAGGACCGGGGGAGATTGCCGTCGCCTTATATAGCAAAGGTAGGTTCTTTTTACCTTTCTTCGTCCTGGTCTTCTTCAGCTAGCTAGCTAGCTCCAACACCGTTTTTAACGACGTAGAGCATTGTTTCCACAAACCGAGTTTATGAGATGCTTGCCTCCATATATATCTTTGGCGTCAACGGGGAAGGGGAATAGAGTGGTTCGGTTGTGCATTTCTTTGATACTTTTCTTTAACCTGTCCTGTAATTTTTTTTATACCATTTTCGAACTCCTGATCGCCAATTTTTTTACCCCTATATGTACGTGGTGGTGTGGGTTGAATATATAGTGAAAATGTAAATTCTTCTTAGTCTGTTGGAATGAAGAGAGAGGAGGGTGCAGCTGCCATGTAAATTCATAACAACAAATGAACTGCACTTTCGGATTGGTGTCCAGCGTGCCTGTTGTTTTGCCTAATCCTGCATTATGAACGGTGATTTCAGTTAGTTTGTCATTGGAGAGATTTAATAATGAATGCTAACATGAATTGTTGGGAGATTAATAATGAATACTAACATGCTCCTCTAATGATATGAATTTGATACCATTCAAGAACCGGTTGAGCTGAATAATTTCAATTGTTATGAGAGATTTAATAATGAATCTTAAGGTAAATACAATATATTAGCCACAACTATTATGAAGTGGGGAATTATAGTCACAACTATGGAAATTCAAATTATTAGCCAAACTCTAACTCTTTGCTAACAATTCTGTTAGGAATACTGGCTAAACTTGTTTTATGTTTTAAAGTTATAAATTAAAAGCAGTCTGACGTGGCTGCTGTAGTGGCCGATGACGTGGCCTTCTTCATTAAAAATTCAATAATAGTAACGGACAGTTAACCATATCTTGACCCGTAACAATGGTTATGGCTAATAATTTGAATTTACATAGTTGTGGCTATAATTCCCAATTCATAATAGTTGTGACTAATATATTGTATTTACCCTAAATCTTATACTACATACTAATATGAACAACTAGCTTCATCGTTGATTCTTCAGACGGATCCTTAGGCTACAGATCACAGATTCGGTTTGAGCCTATCATTCATCGATGATTGAGTCTATTAAGCACTGATTTGGGCGTATTTTTTTCGAGTCAATTTTTGGCAGATCCCAAAGGGTCACATATTTCAGGTGATTTTTTGGAATGACCATTTTCGTTAGATTTTGGAGGCTAAAGATCACGGATTCGGCTTGAGGCAACTTGGGGCCATTCCCCATCGCAGATGAAGTCAATTAATGGCCGATTTGGGCGAATTTTATATTGAGGGCGTTTTTGTAATTTATCATGCGCTTTTTTCGAAAGGCCATTATCCTTGGATTTTGAAGACTACGGAACATGGATTCAGCCTGAGGCTATCCTTCACTGGTGATTAAGTCTATTAAGCACCGATTTGGGCATATTTGTTCCAGGTCAATTTTTGGCAGATTCCAAAGGGGTATCATCACAATTTTTGAACGATTTTTTGGAATGACCATTTTCGTTGGATTTTGGATGCTACAAATCACAAATTCGGCCTGAGGTGACCTGGGGCCATTCCCCACCGACAATGAAGTCAATTAATGGCCGATTTGGGGGATTTTATCCGGAGGGCGTTTTCGTAATTGTTTGCAAACACTTTTAAAAAAGCCATTTTCCTTGGATTTTGAAGGCTACAGATCACGAATTCGGTCCGAGGCTATAATTCCCCGATTATTAAGTCTATTAAGCATTGATTTGGATGTATTAACATATTTCGGGCGATTTTTAAAAAAGACCATTTTCGTTGGCTTTTGGAGGCTACAGATAACCGATTTCGCCTGAGGCGACCTGGGGCCATTCCCCACCGATGATGAAGTCAATTAAAGGCCGATTTGGGCAAATTTTATCCGATGTGCGTTTTCGTAATTTTCTTGGATTCTGAAGGCTACGGATCATGAATTCGGCCTGAGACTATCCTTCATCGATAATTAAGTATATTAAGCACCGATTTGGGCGTATTTGTTCTGGGTTAATTTTTGACAGATTCCAAAGGGGTACCATCATAGATTTCAAGCGATTTTTTGGAATGACCATTTTTGTTTGATTTTGGAGGCTACAGATTACGGATTCAGCCTGAGGCGACATAGGGCCATTCCCCACCGATGATGAAGAATAATGGCCGATTTGGGCGAATTTTTTCCAAATGGCATCTTCGTAATTTTTCGTGCGTATTTTTCGAAAGGTCATTTTCCTTGGGTTTTGAAGGCTACAGATCACGGATTCACGCAGATTCTAAAGGGGTATATCACCGTACCATCACAGATTTCGGGTGTTATTTGGAATGTCCATTTTCATTGTATTTTGGAGACTACAGATCACAGATTCGCTCTAAGGCGACCTTGGGCCATTCGCCACCGATGATGTAGTAAATTTATGGCCAATTTGGGCAAAATTTTCCTTGAGGGCATTTTCATAGTTTTTTGTGCGCTTTTTTCGAAAGACCATTTTCCTTGGATTTTGAAGGCCACAGATCACGGATTCGGCCTGAGCCTATTCTTCATTGATGATTAAGTCTATGAAGCACTGATTTGGGCGTATTAACTCTGCGTCAATTTTAGGCAAATTCCAAATCACAGATTTCATGTGATTTTTTGGAATGACTATTTTCGTTGGAATTTGGAGCCTACAGATCACGCATTCGGCCTAAGGCGACCTAAGGCCATTACCCACCAACGATGAAGTAAATTAATGGCCAATTTGGGCGAATTTAATCTGGAGGGCATTTTTCGTGCGCTTATTTCGAAAGGTCATTTTCATTGGATTTTGAAGGCTACGAATCATGCATTCGGCCTGAGTCTATCCTTCACAGAAGATTAAATCAATTAATCATCGATTTAGGCGTATTTGTTCTGGGTCAATTTTTGGCAGATTCGAAAGGGCTACCATCACAGTTCGGGCGTTTTTTGGAATGGTAATTTTCGTTTGATTTTGGAGGCTACAGATCACGCATTCAGCCTGAGGCGACCTGAGGCCATTCCCCACCGATGATGAAGTAAATTAATGCCCGATTTGGGCAATTTTTTTTGGAGGGCATTTTTCGTAATTTTATGTGCTCTTTTCCTAAAGACCATTTTCCTTGGATTCGAAGGTTACGGATCACGGATTCGGCATGAGGCTATCCTCCACCGATGATTAAGTCTATTAAGCATCGATTTGGGCATATTTGTTCCTCGACAATTTTTGGCAGATTCCAAAGGGGTACCATAACAGATTTCGGGCGATTTTTTGGAATGACCATGTTATTGGATTTTGGATGCTACAGATAACGGATTCGCCGTAAGGAGACCTGGGGCCATTCCCCACCGATGATGAAGTAAATTAATGGCCGATTTGTGCGATTTTTTTCGGAGGTCATTTTCGTTATTATTTGTGCGCTTTTTTCGAAATACCATTTTCCTTTGATTTTGAAGGCTACGGATCACGGATTCACCTTGAAGCTATCCTTCATCGATGAGTAATTCTATTAAGAACCGATTTGGACATATTTTTTTTGGGTCAATTTTTGGCAGATTCAAAACTGGTACCATCACAGATTTAATGCGATTTTTTGTATTTGTCATCTTCGTTGGATTTTGGAAGCTACTGATCACGGATTCGCCCTTAGGAGACCTGGGGCCATTCACCACCGATGATGAAGTAAAATTATGGCCGATTTGGGCAAATTTTTCGCAAAGGGCATTTTCATAGTTTTTTGTGCGCTTTTTTCGAAAGGGCATTTTCCTTGGATATTGAAGACTACGGATCTCGAATTCGCCCTGAGGCTATTCTTCACCGATGATTAAGTCTATGAAGCACCGATTTGGGCGTATTAACTCCGGGTCAATTTTATGCAAATTCCAAATCACAGATTTCAGGAGTTTTTTTGGAATGGCCATCTTCGTTGGAATTTGGAGGCTACATATCACGCATTCGGCCTGAGGCGACTTGGGGCCATTCCCCACCGATGATTAAGTAAATTAAATGCCGATTTGGGCGAATTTTTTCTGGAGGGAATTTTTCGTAATATTTTGTGCGCTTATTTCAAAAGGCCACTTTCATTGGATTTTGAAGACTACGGATCACGGATTTGGCATGAGGCTATCCTTCACAGGTGATTAAGTCTATTAAGCATCGATTTAGGCGTATTTGTTCTGGGTCAATTTTTGGCAGATTCCAAAGGGGTACCATCACAGATTTCGGACGTTTTTTGTAATGGTAATTTTTGTTTGATTTTGGAGGCTACAGATCATGCATTCGGCCTGAGGCGACCTGAGGCCATTCCCCATCGATGATGAAGTAAATTAATGGACGATTTGGGAATTTTTTTTTCAAAGGGCATTTTTCGTAATTTTTTTGTGCTCTTTTCCTAAAGGCCATTTTCCTTGGATTTGAAGGCTACTAATCACGGATTCGGCATGAGGCTATCCTCCACCGAAGATTCAGTCTATTAAGCATCGATTTGGGCGTATTTGTTCCTCGTCAATTTTTGGCAGATTCCAAAGGGGTAGTAGCATAACAGATTTCGGGCGATTTTTTGGAATGTCCATGTTCGTTGGATTTTGGAGGCTACAGATCACGGATTTTCCCTTAGGCGACCTGGGGCCATTCCCCACCGATGATGAAGTAAATTAATGGCTGATTTGTGTGAATTTATCTGGAGGGCATTTTCGGTTTTTCGAAATGCCATTTTCCTTGGATTTTGAAGGCTACGGATCACATATTCGGCCTAAGGCTATCCTTCATCGATGATTAAGTCTATTAAGCACCGATTTAGGCGTATTTGTTCTTGGTCTGCCTTGGAGCCGGACGGTGATGAGTTCCGCGGTCTCCATTGCCTAGGTTTAGGTATGTTACCGGATGGTGATACTTTCCGTGGTACACATACCTCAGTTTCAAAACCTGATGGTGATACATTCCGTGGTGATCATAACTCCTGTTGAGGGGCACCCCA